TAACATGGCCGTGGATCCCGTGCTCCGAGCCGCCCCCTGCATCCCTCGGTCACAAGTTTTTTTGGTTTTCATTTTCAACAAGTGGAAGAAAAATTGATTTTCATACTTTATGTTTGTTTTAAATATTTTCTCCTCCCCTGATTCAGTGCGTGTGTAGAGGGGACAATTTGGGGGCATTTCCTCTCATTTCCCCACTGATTTTAAAACAATCCTAAGGGGTTAGGGAGGTTAGAACACCCCCAAATCCCAAACCAACAGTTTCAGTTTATTCTCACCCCAGATCCTCCTGCCATTAGCCAGTTGCAGTAGGCCAGGAGGGGGCACCACGACAGCCCCCTGCAAAATGTCCTGATTGGGGCTCCCTGACCCCAGCCCCTGAGAGATAAGGGAACCCCCAGAGACCCAGACGGAGAACCAGCCCCCTCCACAGGGGTGATGCTAATGTGGCCCTTGCTGTGATGTCATTGGGGGGCTGTCCCTGTCTCTGGGGGAATGTGGGGGGTCAGGGGGCAGTGGGGAGGTGACAGTAGCGAGCAGGGCCCTGGAGGAATGGGGAAAAGGTGAGTGGGGGGAGAGGGGTTCCCAGTTCAGAGATGGTTCCATCCCCATCCCCCACCCTTTTTCACATCCCACCACAGATGGCAGCGATGATAGAGAAGGAAAACAGAAAAGCAGTAGAAGCCTCCAGGAGGAAATATGAACAATTTGTGCAGCAGCTGGTGAGCACAGAGGGGCTGTGGGTCGGGAGTGAGGGTCACCGGCAGACCTGGGGGTGGGGGGGGGCAGGGATGGGATAGCACGGGGCTGTGGTGGGTCGGAGTTGAAGGGTCTGTGGGTGCATGACATGATGGTGCCCCCTGTGGCTGGGAAACACTAGAACCCATCCCTAATGGCCAATCTCTCCCGCTCCCCACAGGACCGTGACCACCAGAGCATGCGCCGCTGCCTGAGTGTGAAGCCTGCGGAAATGCAGCGACGCCAGGAGGGGAAACGTCAGGAGCTGCTGGAGCGCTGCCAGGGGGAGCTGCGGGGCGAGGATCCCCAGAAAGAGGCGGCCCTGGAGGAGCTGAAGGAGGAGCTGGACAGGCACATGGACGAGTTCCTGACGGCCTATGGGCAGCCCTTTAAAGTGAAAAAGGCCGAGTGGTTGGGCCTGGCCATGGGTCGGGGGGTGGTTCCTGGCAGTGGTGGGTGCGGGTATCAGAGTAGGCATCAGGGCGAGTGTAGTTGTAGTGGGGCTGGAGGAAGCAGTGGCCGTTGGGGTTCTGGCTGGGGGCTTTGGCCTGATGGGGGGGGAGGGTTGGGCAGCTGGGTGGGCCCCAGTTTGGATGGTAGGTGGACTCGAGCAAGACAGGCACCAACACCCTAGATCAGGGGGATGAGTGGGAGAGCAGGGCAGGATGTTCAGATCAGGAGCCCCTTCTGTGGAGGGACACACAGCGGGAAGGAACCATCACACCTCACTCTGGTAAAGGGTCTGTGCCAGCCCTCAGCACTGGGAACCTCTGTATGCAAGGGGATAGATAGGTAGATAGATAGATAGATGGGGCGTGTGGGGATAGAGAGATAGATAGATTGATAGATAGATAGGGTGTATGGGAATAGATAGATTAGATAGATGAGGGGGTGGATGGGGGTAGATAGGTAGATGAGAAGGTTGTGTGGGGATAGATAGATAGATAGTTAGATAGATATGAGGGGGTGTAGGGGGATAGATGGATAGATAGATAGATGATGAGGTGTGTGGGGATAGATAGATAGAGGGGGTGTGTGGGGATAGATAGATAGATAGATAGATAGATGATGGGGTGGATGGGGATAGATAGATAGAGGGTGTATGTGGGGATAGATAGATTAGATAGAGGTGGTGTATTGGGAAGAATGGGGAGAAGGTGAGTGTCCAAA